TTTTTATTTATAACAGAGTTAACACTTTATTTTTTTATGCTTTGAAGAATTATTATTTTTTAAATCATTTTTAAAAACTTTTAGTTACATGATTAGAAGAAGCATTTCACTACAGCTTTAATATATTCAGTAACACACTCCAGAGCAAGAGTACATCTCTTTCACAAGTGGCTGCAAGTTTCTAGGTTCACAGTTGAGTTAATACAGTTATACAATATTGAATTCAGTATAAGCTCTGTAAGACATAAAATTGAATGAGTTTTTTAACCTTTAAAAAAGATCTCCATTTCATTTTAGAATATATTGTTCCTTGCATAAAGACTCACTGTTTTTGCTACTAACACTCAGATGTTGGCTCATGCATCTCTAATCTGTATGTATCTGATTATTACTAGTTATAATTGGTTGCACTTGGATCCTTGGTGCTTGTTTATGTCTATAAAGTCATCGGGTGAGCCCAATCTTATCTAAAGGAATATTGACAACTGATTGCTGCTAGATGAGGAACAGCTGACACTCCTAAAACAAAGACCTCTAGATAGGCTGACTAGGTTCACCAGAAGGGCAGGTAGTGGGGAATGGCTGGGGATGCCGACAACACAGCAGACAGTAGCAGGGATATCAGAGTATAAGGGCTCTAGTGGGGGGAGGGAGGCTATGGGAGGGTGCCATCTGGGAAGTGGGTGTACAGCTGAATAAGATGGTTTGGGAGATTCTGTGTGATACACACACACACACACACACACACACACACACAAACACACACAAAATCAACAAATTTTTAAAAATGTATTATATTTGAGGAGGAAGCATGGAAATTTACGTCATGCTAATTAGTAGAGGTGATAAACATTACCACTGAAATCTTGCTGTTTTTCATTCTTACGCTTTGTTCAGTTCAGGCAAATTCCTGTAAGGAACTTTATCAAAGTCTGACAGGGGGACCATGCACCTAATGACAGAGCATTCTCCACTAGCTCACCCAAATATCAACTTTGAAAACTACATCTAAAAGTTTCAGATGTGGCTTTATGATTCTTTTATTTTCTTAAAACAAATGTTAAACATCTCAAAAACTGCTGTGGTGAGGTATTTCTAAGTCCATCACGGCCTATTTTCTAACAAACATGTTGATAAAATGAGAAACAAAAAGATTTTTACCCCTTATAGACAATATGGAACATTCTAGCTTTATCCAAGCCATGCCCATCTAATAAAACTGATGTCCCAAATAAGCATTAGGATATTGTGAATACCAGTGGCCCATGAACAGGTAAATAGTGCCACAAAAACACAGAGGAAGACAGCTGGTAACAGAAAAATTTCTTAGCCTAAATGATCTTACACAGGTCTAACCTTGTTTTTATATATGTTTTATGTTAAAATACTTTACAAATTACAATTATTTTGACAACATATGTTCCAATACATGTAAAATGTCAGTACAATAAGTATGACTTGGATCCTCTGTAAAGAGGATCAAGTTTAGAAAGCAATTGCATTTGTAAGCAATTGGTTCATTTGTTTGTACTTGAAAACATTCCCAAACAACTGAAATAATTCCAATGTGTGCCATATGCGTTTGTGAGAATTTCTCTCCTCTTTTTTAAAAAAATATTTTATTTATTATTTTTATTTTATGTGCATGAGTGTATTGCCTGCATGTCTGTGAGTGCACCCGTGTCATGCAATGCCACAGAGGTCAGAAGAGGGCTTCGGATACCCTTGGAACTGGAGTTAAGGACGGTCTGTAGCTGCCATGTGGGTGCTGGGAACTGAACCCGGGTCTTCTGCAAGAGCAGTCAGTGCTCTTAACCCCCGAGCCATCTCTCCAGCCCCTAGAGTGTCTTTCTTTTTTTATGTGCATTTTATCTTTTCTTTGGCATTCAAAGGTCCCTGAGAATAAGCCCATATCTAATTTAATTGTGTCTGCAAAATGCTGCCACAGGTCCTTCACAAAAATAGTATATATTTGAACAAATATTTGTATAGGTATATTCAGAAAAACTCTTATCCCACAAAGCATTCTATATAAAGAATCCATTTTTGTGTTCTAAGTAAGTTGTTCAACATAAAAATACTCAGTGCATCAAGGTGAGACTTCTCATAAACACACCTGTACAACAAAATATTTCTATTCTCTGGCTGTATGCTTGAAAACTTTAAACAACGGAATGCAACTAACCTGTAATCCAAATCTTAAAAACAAATCAATCACTGACACAAAAGATACAAGTGCTTATTAAAAAATTTAAATACGAACTTACAGCAATGGTGACAGCATGCACAAGGCTCACGCAAACTCAAATCAGACAAAAATCCAGCACAGAATTGGGGAAATGGGTAAGAAGGCCAACCTTAGCTGAGGAACTACTGGCTCTGATCACTGCTGGGTGAAGGAGAGTTGGTCTTCTTTAAGGGAGTGACAATACATAGGCTGACCAGGCTCTAGTGGATGAACTCATACTGAAGGGGATCTGGGGATACAAACTTGACCTGATAAGACCTTAATATATATGACAGAATGCATGAAATCTGGGGGTGAAAGGGTATGAGGGGCTTCAGATAGGGGAAGGTTTTAAATGTGATTAAGATGTATTACAGGAAATGCACAAAAATTCTATAAAATATATGTTGAAAAAAATAAACAAAAATAAATAAAAATAAATTTGAGTTGGACCTGGTGACACATTTTAGTCCTAGCACTTGGGAGGCAGAGGCAAGCAGATGTCTGTGAGATGGAGACCAGCTTGGTCTACATAGCAAGTTCCAGGCCATCTAGGTCTACAGAGAAATGCTGTCTCGAAAAACCATAATAAATAAATAAATAGGCAAATAAAATAAAAATTAAGGATAAAAATGGAAGTTCTAGTTAGTCTTTAAAGTTAACAAAATGTTTGACTACACATACAAATTAATTTCATTTGATCACAGTTATATGTTATTTTGAAAAAAAATATACTGTTCCACACACATGCCATTATTAACCTAAAAAAAACCAAAACAACAAAAACCAGAAGGCCTGGTCTCCACCCCTACTCCTACCAGGTAATCTAGTCTCTGTAGGATAAGTGATGTACTAACCCCAATGGCTGTAGAAATTAAACAGCTCTCAGGAGAATCTCCCATTAAATACAGAATGAAGTGGTATTCCCTTTCCCTGAAGACATGAAACACTCACAAAACCTTTTAACAAATCACTTTGTTCAAAAACTTCTGGTCAGCACCCCAATCCTGGTTCAACCACTCCCCAGATCCTTGAGTGACCATGTCACCCCCTGCTTCTCTTCCTATCCTGCTTGACCCTCCACATTCATTTTCAAGTATCTCCCAAGTCGTCCATTTCTACTTCCTCTCATCTAGCTTTGCTCTAGTGCAGCACTCTGGCTTACCAATCATTTTAACTGTACAGATTACAAACAACTCCACTCAACAGCCTCTAATATCCAAGAACATTTTACGTGAAGCTCAAAAAACCACTATGGAGATGGCAATGAGGACTATAAACTTATGGTTGCTTTGTTCTGCTATTAAAAAAATACCTTGAAATAAATGATATGAAAAGCAGGTCAGAAAAGGCCAACGATCATTTTATATTTAGGGTATTGGTTGAAATAATGATATCTGAAGGAAGTCTGGCAAAGTGTCATATTTACTGAGCTCCTCAATGTACAGGTTACTGCATATGGCAGTCAGTATAGTAAATGAATGAATGCATAAGCAGATAAGTCATCACAAAGGCAGGAAACACAGCAAGACAGTGGATGTGTAGAGCAATGCTACAAGGCAAATGAGATGACATTCAGTTTTAAGAGTCGATCAAAGATGTCTGGGGTGGGCTTTGAAATCACCCTAGAGAGTTACTGGTGGAGGGGAGCAAAAGAAACTACATGAGAAGGAGGGCCACTGAGGTGGGAAGCTGGAACACATCAAGAATTGTGATGACTTCAGTATGGTCAGACAACAGTGAGTAAAAGGACCAGGTGCTGTTCTGCATGCTCAACACATAGGGTTTCTGGATAAATTCAGAAAGGAAAAAAATGGAATCACAGAAATGAAACAGAATGCCAGAGGAAAGGAGGGTGCAGAGTAGAGGAACAAGAGCAGAAACCCTACACTGAGAACACTCGCATGTCTTTCAAATTGCTGTGTTTCATATTCTTTAACGAAAGCAAGGTGGGAGAAAACAGACTCTGTATTAGCCAAAAACCAAATGAATAACCATTTATTGTGTTGTACTGCAAGTGTATCAGTGTCTGGGGATATCATCTACCTATCATCAGAAAGCATTTCTTACTCTGGTGAGACATGCACAAGTTTAACAGATAAACTGGGAAATTAAGTTAGGCAGAATAACAGGCAAGATCAACACAACTTTTTAAGTAGCTTTCCCCATTAGACCTAAAGGAAGAAAGAACTTGCAGTCAATACACTGCATCTAGTTTGCTGACCTGAAGAGCAGAAAACCTGTCTTAATCATTCCTGTGTTTGGCACACTACATGCCATTTAGACTTTTGATAGATTCAATGAGTGGGAAAAGTCAGAGAAAGAAGGGACAAATAACAAATCATTCTGATTTGCATAACATGTGCCCCAATCAGTATATAATTATAATGCATTATGTGCTCTTGAGCGACATTTCAAATTATGTCCCTCAGAGACCATGAACCACCAGGAAAAGACTGAGTTATATCTACTATACTACACTTTCTAAGATTGGAGCCAGTTGATATACAAATAAGCAGTTTTAAGTAATTTTAATAGGCATTAAAACTAAACGGTTATTTTACTTCACTCTAAAATTAAACTGGACTACATCCTAATCAGGAAGATTTCATTCAGTCAATAGACTAGGAGTATATTCCATTCTTTGAACATTTTACTTAGTTGACATTTAAAACCATATATTAAGTTCCAAAAGCTCTAATTCTGGCAATTTTCACAATAAAAGTGCTCAACTGTGGACAGCCTAACCAAGCAGAAAGACGACTCTTGGTACCTTTATGGTTTCTGTGGGCACTCCAGGCTCTGGAACTTTATCCAAGTAAGTGGTCAAGTCTTGATCAACATGCTCAAACACTAGTGTAAGTTTAGTTTCTCTGTCTGTTCGTGACACTGTGCATACATCAAACAACCTAGAAGGGAAAAGAAAGAGACTGAGTAGGTGACAATAAGCAAAGCGGTAACCTGTATGTTTCAGAGCTATCCTTCAATTTTACCTAATGGAAGTGTGGGGAAAGCACTCCTTGATCACAGGTAATGGTGCCTAATGGGAGCAGATATTTCAGTATCAATATGAAAGCTTTTTCAGCAAGACCATCCATAGCAGTGATGACAAACCAAGATGACTGGAGAGCAAAGACATCTGCTTACATGTGCTTACATCTGTCTTAACTAATGAAGTCCTTAGGTAGAGCCTGTTCATGGAAATAGTTCAAAACTTGGAAGCCAAGCAAATATACTTCTTCTTAGCGCACAGTGTGAGAATTATGAGAGGCAAATTAAGCATTCTTTGGGGATACTGGATTCTGCAATGTAGAGTTTGCTAGAATGCAGTGTCACAACCTGCAAAGTACAACAAGTATAAAGGAATATGGAACGACTTATTTCTAAGACAGGCTTTCATTCTGGTGAGTCAAATTATTGCCCTAGAAAAGGTATAAATTGTAAATGTCACATAAAATCAATATTGCAAAAATGTTTAATTTTTAAATTTTAAAATTAAAATTTTTAATACTTTTTTCATTTTAACTGAAAGAAAATAATTGCATGTATTTGTAGGGCACCATGCAATGTTTTAATATACTGCTGAACTATTATAATAATTCAACTATATTAATGCATTTCATGTTTCAAAACTGCTGAAAATATTAATTTCAAATGTTTTTAGAAATTATCAAAAATAATATGATGAATCTGCCAAATAACTTGATTAAATCATACTGCAATGCAAATACCATAAAATATAAAATGGGAGGGGGGCAGAATGCACTGTAAACTAATAAAAACACAGATGAACAAGTATTACAAAGAAGGCCTTCTGGAGTCAAAAGAACCTTCAAGCCCAAGGACAAAATGTCCTTTAGTTAAGACATTATCTCATACAAGAGAGTCTCATCAAGAAGAATTAGGCAAAAAAATCCATAAATAAGCTGTAAGTAGATTTCTTGAGAAGAATATAATAGATATAATCATAAGAAACTAATAAAATGCCATTTGCGTTATTTTTCATTAAAAAACTGAAAAGACTTTTTAAAGAAATTGTGTGTGTTCACAGCCCCCTCCTTGTATATGACTTTTGTTAAATTTTCAATGCCTAGCTGGTTTACTATGCCAGTCTACTATTTCTAGGATATATGGACTTCAAATTTATTCCTGCTTTCTGAATCTAAGCTAAATGTTAACAGAATCTACAGGACACTTTAATAATCCAAATCTGTTGAGACAAACAAAACACATACCCCTTCCCAGCCAGACCCAAGCTACTGTTCAGTCATGAGTATTGTTAAGTATATTAAATTCATCAAAATCAACTATTTTTCTCAAGCTAATACCGATTTTTATATTTCAGTATCTACTTTAAGTTTATTATTTTCCCAGTGTGATTTAGTCTCCAATGCATTCTGATGAAGCAAAAATTCCTAATAGTAAATTTGTTAACAATAATGCCATAAATCATGTCAATCCCATACTATGAAAGGCATGATTGCTATAATGCATAGTTTAACATTTTTGAAGTTTATCAAAATAGCTCTTTGAGAGCTGGGGGTGATAGCACATGCTTTTAATAATCCCAGTCCTTGGGAGGAAGAGGCAGGAGGATGTCTGTGAGTTCCAGGCCATCTGGGCTTAGGGAGATCCTGTCTCAAGCAAACAAACAAAAAAATCTCTTTGAACTTGATAATTAGATGTAACTACCATTTGTCCATAGGCTCCTTGGAGTCACCTTATAACTATGAAACCCATATCTTTCAACTGTTTCAACTACTTCTTATTCTTCTTTCCTCCTGAAGGAAAGAAAAGAGTTCTAAAATCACCAAGCTTGTTTATATCTGAGAGTTCTATTTTTCCAAAAACCAAAAAAAAACCAAAAAACAAACAAACAATGAATCAAAAATGCCATGTACTGAAATCAAATACAAACACTAAAACTGGGTCATTACATATCCATTGCAGTTGGGCTTCTCAAACATTTCTCTAAAAATGTTTTCCATTAAAACTAATATATTTCCTTAATGAAAAATGCATTGCTCATCACTGACTTGAGTTAATGACTTTGTAACAATTCCAGTTCTTACTGCCTTTATGGTGTGTGTGTATGTGTGTGTGTGTGTGTGTGTGTGTGTGTGTGTACTATTAATTTTCAGAAGAAAAAAAAAACTTGATGGGGACATAATACTGTTGAACCAAAAGGCCACCTGTTCCACAAACCGTTGTCTTAGAAATTTCCTAACAGTCCTGGCAGCACGCGACGTTGCTTCATCTCACTGAAACTGTTTCCAAGTACTGTGTGTATGACACAATTCACGAAGAACATCTAACCCACCCAAGCTGCTCTGTTACATAATACCTCACTCTTCAAAATATTAAGATTTGCTGATGCCACCAGAGGTAACTAGGCTCCACATTCAATGCTTAAAGGATGCTTAATATATGCAGAGGTGAACTTGGTAAAGACACTGCTAATTGGCTTAAATGATAAATCTTGGAGAAAAGAAAATTATTGTATTTGGCAATTTTTAAAAAAAGTGGTATGAATTATAAAGAGATCTGTGACAGTGTACACAGTAAAAATATTATTATATGAACTTTGATGTATGAACTTTAATGCATGAACTCACATATTCTGAGCTACCAAAAATTTAGTGTTAGGTAGAAGTTGCTTATTCAGGTTCAAGGAGATAATCCTTTTCTCCCCTTCTCAATGTGTGTGTGTGTGTGTGTGTGTGTGTGTGTGTAAAATTGCATTTTTGTGCATTTCATATAATATGTCTTAATCATATTTAGAACCCCTCTATCTGCATCATTTCCATTTGCCCCCGCCCCCAGCAGATTTCATGCACTCTGTCATGCATATGGTATCAAATCAAGTTTGTGTCTCCAGATGACCCTTCATGTGAGTTCATCCACTGGAGCCTGGTCAGACTATCTAGCATCACTCCCTTAAAGAAGATCAACTCTCCCTCACCCAGTAATGATCAACTGGCAATAGTTTCTCAGCTGAGGTTGGGGCTTCTTGCCCATTTCCCCACTTCTATGCTGGATTTTTGTCTGGTTTGAGTTTGCACGGGTCTTGTGCATGCTGTCTCTGTTGCTGCAGGTTCATATGATCAAGTTCACAGAAACCTGGAAAACTTTGTCTCCTTGTAGTCATCCACCACCCCTGGCTCTTACAGTTTTTCCACTCCCTCTTCTGCAATGGTCCTTGAGCCCTAGGTGGGTGAGGTTTAATATGGGAGTCCTATCCAGGGACATGCACTCTGCAGTCTCTTATTTTCTACACTTTGTCAATTGTGGCTTTCTGTAATTTCTTTAATTACCTTCTGTTTCCTGAGAAAAGCTTCACTGGTGAGAGTTGAAAGATGCATTAGTGTTCTCTCTACCCCCTGGTTCTACTTGTTCCCTGAGTCTTAGGTGTAGAGGTTCCACTGCAGATGTGTCACTTAGGGCTGGGCATCTATGGACAAAACTTATTCTCTGTGTTTGATCAGTTGTGGAACTCTGTAATAGTCTCCATATCTTGCAAAAAGAAGCTTCTCTGATGAACTGGTGATGTGTATACTTGTCACGGTAGTTTGAAGGTCTCAGGCAGCTTTTTCTTTTTTAAGGCAGGGTCTCACGATGCAACCCTGGCTGGCCTGGAATTCAGAGATCCACCTGCCTCTGCCTCCTAGGTGCTGGGATTAAAGGCCTGCAGCACCATGGCTGGTCAAGGAGATGTTATTTTTAAGTTTTAGGTGTTATTACTAATTGAGAAAGTGCAGGATATCACATTCTCCTTAGAAATTTACAATTCAAATCAAGGAAATAGTATTTGTGGTAAGACTCCCCCCTTTGAGACATTAGTGCTGGCCATTAGCTGCACTGGGATGCACTACTTCAATAAAGACAGAGAAATACTGCTCTTCATTAAAATGTGAAATTGTGTCTGTTTAGTAAACATTATTATACTAAAAGTTAATAGTTACACTAATTACATTGGATATAAAATATATTTTGAGCCAGCAGCTGTATATATTAATCTTAGAAATTCTAGAGCATAATATTCATAATGCCTTTTAATCTATGGCTCCCTTTACTCCACTTTATTTACTACTCTACTTTAGTCATTTTGACAGGCAAAGCACAATAGATATTTTAATACAGAAAGTAAGTTCCACAAAAAGTAACTGAGCTAAAGGATTGAGGTCCCTGGTACTGGCTGAAGGTTAGCAACCTGTAATAGATTTATAGAAATCACTGGGGAATGTGGCCAGGTTGCCTATAACCCCTAAATTTGCAAAACAAAGGAGTCAGACAGGTATGAATGACCATTTGAAACATAAACACTAGAAAATAACTTCCACTATATGATTCTGTGTGTTGACCAACATTTTACAATTTTCTAAAAATATTTAGTAAACCAACAAAAATTCCATTTCAGTGATTACATGACTACAGTTCCACAGAAAAAATGAAATCACACTTTACTGCAAATAAAAACTTAGATGACCTTCAGAGGAAAATTACCATTCAATATTTATCATAAACCCACACAATGTGATTCAAGTGAATGTCTATTCAAAGAGTGGAAATGAGGGGCTGAATAGATGGTTCTGTGGTTTAAAGTGTTTACTGCTCTTGTAGAGAACCCAGGTTCAGTTCCTAGCACCCACGTGGCAACTCACAGCTGCCCACAACTCCAGTTCCAGGGGACCTAATACGCCCTCTTCTGTCCTCCATGGGCTCTTGCACACACATAGTCATACAGGCACACACATACACAAAAAGAAAAAACAGGTACATAAATCTTCAAAGATATATAGAAAGATATGTAGAGTGGCTCTCCACATTTACCTTACCAAGGCTATGTACTCAGTTTAGTGGGGGAAAACAATATAAAAGGGCAGATAGGCCATTATCATATTATGATGAA